CATTAGGTGTTTGCACATGCAGTGAGCACTTGAGCACAGAACATCTCAGTTTAGCTGAACGGATGCAGCTTTTACACACTGTGTTTAGGCAGTCACTTTCACAAAATTGGCCTAAGAGCTTAACTTTTATTTACCATTACTTGTTTACTATCTTCAGTGTGCTCAACCTACCAGACACACACACATATACACATAAATACAGTAACCTCAGAGAGAGCTTCTGCTTGATGGAAAGCCATAGAATAAATAAGTAGATACATAAACACTGAAAAGACAAGAGATGGTGAGAACAGACTTTCATATCCCTATTTTGACCCCAGTAATAACTAAAATTTGGATGGGAATATGTATGCTAAGGCAACACATAAGTGTTATTCTATGAAATGAGAACAGGATTACAGACAGGAAAGGAGCGGACCTGTTTCCACATGTATTACATGTGCATGTTCTTTCTCACTTTATTCCCTTCTGTGGAAATTGGTCTCCTGTTCTTACAAAACTATTATACAGCAAAGAATGATCTAAGATACGGAACTGGTGTCATGCACTGGAGCATCAACCTTTTTTGCCAGCTACCCAAGGTAGCCACATGATCATGGTGGCTTCCCTTGAACTCATTTATCTTTTGTCACTGCTCACTATGCTCTATCTAAATTTAGAAGGCAGCAATACAATCCTTGCATTGAATAATACTTGTTCTGAATAGTCCCCAAACCCACAAGCAGGAATTGTAGAATCACAGAAACACAGAGCTGGAAGAGACCTCAAGAGGTCACAAGTCCCTCCTCCTGCCCTCTGATCAGACCTTTCTGGGCCGACGCTCATCCAGCCACAGATCCCCCATGCTGGAGCTTTATCATTTCCCCATCAATCTATCCCACTATGCAATAATGTTTTCCTTAAAATGAAATGTTAAACGTCCCTGATTAAAATCAAGTCTATTGTCTTTTATTCTCTCTGCTTCAGACAAAGAAAGCAGATTATGACCCTTCATTTGTCTCTTCTTTAGACTAAAAAAAAAAAAGTCCCAATTCTTTAACTTTCCATATTCATCTTCTCATTATTTTTGTTGACTTCCTCTAGATCTTCCCCAATAGTCTCGCTGATACCTTACCATGGCTGAGCTGAGCGGACAACTGCTGTCTGTCCCCACGGCTACCCTTCTGTTCCTGCTCTCAGGCAGGGCACTTCCCTTTGCACAATACCATGGCACTCTTGACTCAGCTTGTGACATCCCAAATTATTTTCTGCTCTATCTGCTATATAGCAAGCTGTTCTCCATCTTGTCTTTCTGCAATTAATTTTTCCTGTCTAAATTTTTTATCTTGCATCAGTCCCAATTTCTCCTCATTTTCCCCTGGACTGTATTTCTAACTTTCAAGATAATTTTGAATTCTAAGCTTGTCCTCTAACATATCAGCAATTCTTACAAATATTATAGGGATGCTTTCCATTCCATCACCCAGGTAATTAATAAACATACTGGACCAAGCTTGGCTTGATTCTGTATCTCTTACATTAAGCAATATGGTCTGATAACTTTACATCTAAGGAATTATTCACCCAGATAAATACCAGTCAACTGGAGCCAAGACGGAGAAATTAGGTCCTTAGAGTATAGATGTATTAGTAGCACAGATTGTTGCAGGTACTTGTCCCAGCAGGAGAGTAATAAACAAGAATGTGCAGTTAAAGCCTATTTGGAAGGAGGGTTGGACAGCTACAGTAGTTTTCATGCCGCCAATTTTCTTTCCATCAGCCATGGCAGTTACATTCACCACAGGAAACCCACTATAATCTGTCACAATATATGCCTTACATTTTTGGATTTAGAACATTTTGAAATACTTTTTCAACATTTTTGAAAATCTTATGCACGGATATAAATATATAGATACATCTAATTTCCCTGGTTTCTTGTTTTAGCTCTTACTCAGCAAGACTCCGACATAAATGAAGCTGAAGACACATGAACATTTTACTGTTAGATACTTCAATGATCAAAGCAATTAGGATCTGTAGGCTCACAGAAAATCTGGGGGCTGTTTTTTTGAACTGGAATATAAAAACCATTATACCAGAGTTCAGACTAAGTCTGGTCAAGCACAACATCTAATACTGTGTAACACTGGATACTTTGGGAATCAGGGTAAGAAATAGATTAATAGGTGGGTGCTTCTTCCTCTAACACCCTCCCCTGGGCCTACCAATGGCTTAAGTATTTTCTGAGCTAGCTTTTTTGTTGTTGTTGTTGTTCAGCTACTATTATTTCAACTAATTTTGGTATTTCTTAAACTGAAATGGACAGTTTAAAACCCCTGGAATCTCAAATTGCATGCAGTGCCAAGGGTCTATTGATTTTCATCTCATAATGCCAATATGCACCCATCGGTGATTTGGCCTGAAACATTTCTGAAAGATTTGTCAGAAACTATCACATGACAACTAAAAGGACAGAAGAAATGACTGTCAAATTAAATTATTTACTTTTCCACAGGGACAATGGAAAAAAAGGACAGTCTTTAAAGGATTAGAATAAATCAGCTACTGCAATCAAATCCGCAAATGCTGCAAAATTGAAAGATGATTGCAAGTGCTGCTGAAGCCACGCAAGGTCAAAATTTTAATGAAGTTCCACTAAAAATGCATAAGTAGTAATTGCGTGAGAGAGCTGAAAAAAAAAAAAAATCTGAGAAACGAGGTTAGACAAGAAATAAGATGGAAGTTACAGCTACAATTGCTGAAACATTAGCTCAAATATTCCTAAACTGCTCATCAGAGAAAAAGATAACACATTTTCCACATTGGGGCAGATTTTCTCAGCTCAGTTCCTGTATGCCTAAAGATAAAAGATATGCATATCAAGCAGTATGTATATGTATGGAGAGCAGGAAGGGACAATGCCCCACTTCTACCTCAAGAGTCCTTTTATCTCTCATGAATTTGTATGTGCTTGGCCTTTTTAAGTGTTCACCCTCCACAGTCCCACCACAAATATCCTGAGTGTGCAACACTGGGTTTATTTCCCTTCCTGCTCAGAGCATCTTCTACTCTGGAGCTTTGCATGTGCAGACTATCAGATGAGTTAAATTTCAAGCGCTGAGGCCACTTGTACATGTGTCTGTTGAAATGGAAAGAACAGAAAATACCACATAATTTGAAAATCACCATTCCATTTGTAAGTGTTCCCTTCAGCAGAGCGATTCCTCCCATGCCAGTTGTCTCATTTTCCTCAGAGGAACAAAAACGGATAAATAGACACCGACCCTTTTTATTGCACAGTGTGTTAAAGAAATTCTGTAAGTTAAGGAAAATATAGGTAACCTAATCAAAATTCAAAGGCACCCCAAAACACTCATGAGAAATTTATTTTTACAGATATGGAAAATACAGCCTCATAACTATACATTACTTATGGAGCTTGTAAAAAAATAAATTACATTCTATCCAGTATTTTGACCATTTTTTTGTACCACATGTATTGTACTTTATGCTGTAGAGAATCAATATAAACAATTTTGGTGATATTTTCTGATAGTTGTTGATGAAAAGATGGAAGAAGATGTGGATACAGAATAAGGAGTCAAGAAATCTGGGCTGGGTTTTTTTGCTGTGCTGCTTTGTTCATGACATAACTAGAGACTTTGACTTCAGTGACTCAGTTTTCTCATCTGTAAAAGGAGGATAACATCTGAATGTCTCTCAGTGGAATGGTGAAATTTAATTTCAGCATGTGTATAAAGCACATTGAGATTGCAAAGTGGCAAGGTATTATTACTACACATTATAAACACAAACTCAGGAAATTTGGCACAGAATGCTTAGGGGTTTTTTCCCCTTTAGCTGCCCTTTTCTTTTAAATAATAATAATAATTGGCATTCTATTAACACTGAGAGGAAACAACAGACAAAGGATTCTCTGTGCACACATGCTAAAGCAGGGAAAGCCAATATAACAAACAAAAAACAAAGAACAGGGCAAGCTTGTGGTCCGAATATTCAAGTTAAAAAGGGGCTCTGCTCTGAATTTTTTAAGGTTCCTTTTTTACTCTCTTGAAATACTACATGACCTTACTGCTACTTTTTCCGCATTCTTCCCATTTATGGGCTAATTCTGTGGCCCTCTGACAGGTAAACTTCCCATTTATGATTTCAAAGGGAGTTTTCTGCACAAGGCCCAAAGAACCTTCCCTTTAATATGGCCACAGGTGCTGTTTTATCCTCACTCTTCCCAGGTCATAAATGCAGAGGCAAAATGAGAAGAGACGATTCCAGAATTCATTGATAACCAAATAGGCAGCAAAATAACAACTAGGTGACAAATTTAAGCTAACATAGAAGAATGTCTGGGAATTCATTCAATGGGGTTTGGGCAATTTTTTTCCTGACTGGCAGGACGGCCTCATCCTTATCCCACTCTTGGAAACATGGACAAAAACAGTGGTGCTTCAAGCATGGGACTTAAACCCCAGCCCTGTCGCAAACCAGTGAGTGCTCAGTTGCACAGCAGGACTGACTCACCTCTCAGTTGCACATCAGGAATGACTCAACTCATACACTTGTGGCTGGTTTCCTTTGAATCCAGTGAACCTAAATTTCCATAGGACCGATCCCAGGACTTGCTTCACCTTTAGACCACGGGCCACTCAAGCCTAGCAAATGGTGTGTAGCACCCAGCAGCTACAACCCTCGTGAGCTTGTCCAGTTGTACGTATTTTCCATCGCTTCAGGCCAATGCTGCATTTGCTAGAGCAAGGTATCTCCAACTCTCATCCATCCAAGTCAAGACTAAAACTTGGTGCACCATCTGAAAATTTAGCCTGCTTCCTCTTTGCTTCAGCTTCTCTGTTGGGAAAGTGAGTTTACAGACAGACCGTTTATAATGGCTCATTATAATGACTCCGGACAGCTGGCTGAGAGGTTTCTCTTTCAGAGCTCCCTATCGCAATGTGATTTATCATCATTAATGGCGGGATAACATTTGTGGGGCTATAAATTACCGCCCACACGCTGGCCTGGGGGTAGCTGAGAGCTGGCACTGCCCACCGCGGGTGCAGGCCACGTCCCGCTCTGAGGGGCCCTGGGGTGCTGGGCCCCCCTTCAGGACCAAGCCCACGAGCGACCATGACGGCTCCCGTGGACAGACCGTTCCCAACAGCTTCGGCGCCCCTTATCGGCGGCGTTCACCATCCGCCGCCCCAGGTGGGCTCCGGGCGGGATGGAGCAATGGGA